AAAAAAAAATTTAACGTATAATAATAATAATAATGATAAATTACTCTTGTTTTTACTCTCTTAAACCAACAGATAATAACATAATAATAATAATATAATAATAATAATTTTTTTTTTTTAATGATCTAAAATTATATTAAATTTTGTGCAGAAAAACAAACAAACAAGCTGGAAAATTGTACTTTTCGAAAAGATGAAAATTAGTTTTTTTTTTTTTCGCACAAAAAAAAATTTTAGATTAGAAAAAAAAAAAAAAAAAAATTAAAACAAACATTAGAAAAAATGTGCATGGATTACATAATAATAATAATTAAAATGCAAGCTCGCAAGAGTTAAAAAAAAAAAAAAAAAAGTGCATAAAACATAAAACAAAAAAGTTTTGTTTACCCATAACAAACTAATAATAATAATAATAATAATATATGTATATATGTATGTATATATATAAAACGGACCTAAGGAAGCGAGCCGTTGTCATGAACGGGCTGTGCGAAGGCTTTTTTGCGAAATGGCGTTGGATCGAACCGGAGTAGTAGGCGATAGTGCTTCATAAACTCCACAATTACATTTCACACGGCTACAACCGGGGCACAGCCATTTCTCAAGCTATTCAAACGTGCAAATATAACAATAATGGTAAATAATATATATATAATTATGCCTAATCTAATAATAATAATAATAATAATAATAACGAGCATAATAAAATAAACACACACACACACGCATACATACATATATGTAACGATGACAAGAGCGAACCGAAACAAAAAAAATAATACATAAAAAAAAAAATAATAATAATAATAATAAACATTAAATTATTATAACAACTATGTATATTTAAGCTACGTGTAATCAATCGCACAGTAAAGAGACTAAAAGCAAAATCAATAGTTTGTAAATAAATAAATAAATAAAAAGTGGGAATGAAAATGGTGCTATGAACAAAAAATGAAAAAAATTGATTGAAAAATAAATTTTTTTTTGTTCACAAAGCGAAAAGCCAATAATTTCCTTAAGATTTAAAATAAATAAATAAATAATATACAATCAATAATAATAATAATAATAATAATAATAAATTTTTTAAAAAATGTGCAAAAGGGGTTTTCTTTACATTTATTTTGACAAAGGCTAACTTCCTGTTTAAAATGCAAAACAAAAAAAAAAAAAAAAAAATCAAATTTGCTGTTAAATAAAAACGTATTATTATTAATAAATAAAAAAACGAATTTAACGATAATAATAATAATAATAATAATAATTAACTGACACGTGAAAACATAAATTATTAAAATAAAATAACACATAATAACCAAAGGAGATTTCGAAAACATTCGAAATGTAAGTTAAAACATGCTAACGAAACGTATTTGATCGTACATTAATCAACAAGTTTTTTTTTTTTTTTTTTTATTTCGTAGCAGGTTATTTGAAATGGTTGTTGAATAATAATAATAATAATAATAATAATAATAATAATAATAATAATAATAATACGATGACAAATAAATAAGGTTAATTAAAAATAAATAAAAAAAATTATTAAGACTCACCCCAACTTTTCTTAATAAATCTCCTACTAAATTAATTGCCGATATCCTATGGGGAGGTGATAATTGTCCAACGCTAGATCCTACTGAAATGAAAAAAGAAAAAAAAATTGTATTAAATAATTTTCAAAATAAAACTTCTTATTTATTAAATAAAATAAATTAAATTAAATAAATTTTAAATAAATATTTCTACTGGGGCTATAAACATATATATATATCTATGCTTAATGTTTCTATTGTTTAAAACAATTTAAAAACCGTTAGACGATGATCAAATAAAAAAAAAAAAACAAAAAATATTTTATCATTTTATTATATAAATAATATTAATAAGTAAAAAATTTTTTATACAAATAAACAATCACCAAATATTTCATTAAAATATATATATATACAGAAAATATTATTTTATACTATTATAAATAAATAATAAAATACAAAAAATTATTTATTTTGCATTTTATTAACGAGTCTCACATAATAACTAAAAAAAATTTATGCCCATTCTTTTTCCTTTAACTTTATTAAATGAAAACAAATTTAAAAACTTTTTAATTATTAAATCAAAATTAATTTATTTATAATTATATATATATATATACGGTTATATAAATAATTGTTAAACAACAAATAATAAAACAAAAAAAAAAGAAAACAATTCAAAACAAAACACCGTTAAAAATACGATTTATGTACACCCGAAAAAAAACAAAACATTTTTTTTTTTTTTTTTTTTTTTTTTTGCCCTTTTATTTCCAAAACCAAGCAAGCAAGCAAGCAGAAAAAAAAATTTTTTTTACAACAATACAATTTTTTTTTTGTAACAAAATAATAAAATTTCAACATTTAATATATATATATATATAAATAAATAAATTAAACGAAAAGAGTAAAAAATAATGCGTTTAAGGAATTCTATAATAAAATTTGATAAAAAAAAAAAAAAATTACAGTGTTTGTCTTTTGTCTGAATTTAAAACAACAAAAGAAACTACTAATTTTTTTATTATTATTATTATTACTTTTTTTTTTTTGGGGGGGGGGGGAGAGTGGGGATTCGAAAGACTTAAAAAAAAGTCTCGTTTTTATTGAAAAAAAAAAAAGTTTTTTTTTACTCTAATACTCTAACAAATTCTACTAACAATTTAAAAAACAAAATACAATTAAATAAATAACAACATAAATTAACATTTTAAAATAAATAAATAAATAAATAAAATTTAGAGAATTTTTCATATTATTTTCCTACTCGATTTGTAATAATGATAAAAATATTATTAAACGTTCTTTATCACCTATTAAAAGTAATTTTTTTTTTTTAATTCAATTTTTTTTAGAACGTTAAACCTTTTTCTTCCTTAAAATAATAATAAAAAAATTAACTAAAAACAAAAAATTATATATATATATTTTTTTTCTTAATGGCAATGAATCAAACAATGACCTTCTCTAAACGTTTTCCCCCTCTACCATTTTTTTTTTTTTAGATTTTGATTTGATAAATGAAAAAGAACACTTTTTTTTGTTTCCCTCATTTATATTGTTTTGGGAAGATGATTTTAAATTCCTTTTATTGATATATTTAAGGTCATAACTACATTCATTTCCATTTATATTTTCAATGTTTTTATTATTTAATGTAAATTTACTTTTATTGACACTCCTTGGAATATTTTTTATATATTTTTCCCGCATGTTTTTATGTACATTTTCAGGTTTATCTTTTAATTTAATACTACTGCTATTATTATTATTATTATTACTACTATTATTATTCGATTCTATTCGACTTTTGTTATTTAAAGAACTCCATTTTGTTTTGGAAAATGAGCACATTTTATTTTTTAACGATTCTTTATACTTATCATGCATAGAAGATAAGGAATTTTCACAAGGTAAAGCGTGCCTATAAATTTTGTTTTTCTTACTTTTCATTGATGCAGGAGCAGATTGATTATCCATGGACATTTTATTAATTTCAGCTGGGCTTCTTCTTCTTTCAATTATTTTATTATTATCCGGCACATTCTGCCATTGTTGCCTATTTAAATCTTGCTGCATATCTACAATTACAGGTTATCGTAAATAAAAATACATGAATAACTGTATTTAAAAATAAAAACTTTTAATTTATGAATATATATATATAAAATTACCTCTTTGTTCATCTTTGAGTCTTTGAACCATTGCTTTCAAGGTCTCTTTTTCATCTACTTCATTTTCTAAGAGTGCATTTCTTTCGATTGCACTATTTAATTTTGCTTCTATGCTTTTAACCGATTCAATCATAACACGTTCAGCTCTTTCCAAATCATCATTTTTTTGTTCTAAGTCTCTAATGTATTTTAATAGTTTTTCTTCGTTTTGCATGTATTCAGATATTCTTTGCTGGAGTTCACCTATTTCTTTACTCGACTGGTGACACTGCTGTTCATATTTTTCCTTTAAGATTGTTATAAATAAAAATGTTTAATTAAAAATGTTATCCAGATGAAAAAAAAATTGATTAAAATTACAAAATGATAATGAATTGAAAAAAAAAATAAATAAATACTCTGCAGGAATCAAGATCCAATGTCAACCTATTACATTTAGTTTTTAAATCCCTATTTGTTTTGTCTGCATGCTCTAATGATTTTTCCAATTCTTTTTCTAATTGAGATGAACTATCTTGAAATTCGATTAATTCTTTCTCTAATTCATCTACTTTAATTTTTAGCTGCAATGCAGTTTCCTTCCAATACTTAACTTCTTCATCTCTGTTATTAAAATTTGGCGCATCATCTTCACCCATTTTTTTTTTTCTCTCTCTGTAATATCAACTAATATAGATGATTGTGAATATAATGATAAATCACATAATCACTTTCTAATTACCTCTACTATTTTTTATTTAGTACAACTACTTTTAAACCTTGAGTGCATAAATACAATTTTAAAAAAATCTTCTTTTATTTTTATGTGCACTTGAAAAATAATTCCCTAGTAATTATCTTAACAAATGGCCATTAGAATAAATAAATTATGAAATTTGTAACTTATTTAATTATTTATACTTCCTGCTACTAAATTACGATATAATTTTCATTTTTAGTGTTCTTAGTACTAATAAAAAAAAAAAAACAATACTCAATTAATTTTATGTTTTTTAAAAAAAAAAAAATTCAAACTTATCATTTAAATTTGACACATAAAGAAAACAAAATTTGTAAAAAAAAAAAAAAAAAAAAAACATTAAGATAATGAATATTGCTAACACTTCGATTATAAATTAAAGATAGCTAAAATTAAAACATTAAATATTTTCTCAGGTCGGGAGCCTTAGGAAAATTAGACACCTATAAAGCCTTTTATACAAGATCTTGATTCAACTTTACACCGAATAATATATTAAAATTACTTTAAAATAATTGAAATTATTAGCAATATGTGACGTTTAAACATGCAAAAAACTTGTTCAATCGTACTTTCTACGCAATTTAAAGGATTTTATAACGTTGAAAATAAATTTTAAAAAACTGTAACACTATTATTAATTAAATTTAATCAATTTCAACAACACTTATTTTGAATGTATAAATAATTAATAAATAAACATTCTCAAAATTAAGAATGAAATACAAGCTAAATATTACAATAAAATGGCGTCGTCGTAGTTCAACGCGTTCATTTTTTTTCTACTTTTACGAATACCAAAGGAAAATATCTATGATAAAGTGGCGACATGGTTTTCGTGGCACCAAACTCATGTAAATGACAGTGGGGAAAATGCTTGATGATTTTCTACGAGTGAATATTATTTTTTACTTTTATTAGTAATAATACCCGTTAAATTATTTTTCGGTCTTTTCGCTTGGTTGGGATGGGAACTTTTTATTAATAATTAGTACAAAAAGTTAAAAAAAAAACTCAATTTATTCTTTAATTTTTAATTTATCAAATCATGGCGGATGATGGTGATAAGGTTTTAAACAATTCTACTAATTGTATTTATAATGATAAAAGCTTTAATAAGCAGTGGGTGAGACTGAACGTTGGAGGAACTGTTTTTTTAACAACTAAAACTACTTTAGCCAGAGATCAAAAATCTTTTTTATACAGATTATGCCAAGAGGATTCGGATCTTATTTCAGATAGGGTAAGTAGGTGGCAATATTTACTAATATACTCTTAAATGCAGTAAATTTTTTTATTTATAAAATTTTCAGGATGAAACGGGTGCCTATCTAATTGATAGAGATCCCACATATTTCAGTCCGGTTTTAAATTATTTGAGGCATGGAAAACTTGTTATCAATAAGGGCCTTGCAGAAGAAGGTGTTTTAGAGGAAGCTGAATTTTATAATATTACAGAACTTATAAAGTTAGTAAAGGAAAGAATTTGCCTTAGAGATACTCATGTACTCAGAGATTCTAAAAAGCATGTTTACAGAGTACTTCAATGTCATGAAGATGAGGTTACACAGGTAATAATAAAAAAAAAAAAAAAACAAATTGTATTTATTTGTAATGAAAAGATTTTATTTATTTGAATACAAAATTTTATATTAAATTTAGATGGTTTCAACAATGTCCGATGGATGGAAATTTGAGCAGCTTATTAATATTGGTTCTCAGTATAATTATGGAACTGAAGATCATGCTGAATTTTTATGTGTTGTTTCTAGAGAATATGGCTCAGTTTTAAACCATACAAAAGAGACTGAAGCCACAGACAGAGCAAAGGTTAGTCATTAATAAAAAATTTATTAATTAAAAATTTACACTAATTTTATTTTTAATTTTAACAATATTAAATGATGTTGATGATGGTAATATTAATATAAAAAATATTTATTTAATAAATTTTAGGTATTGCAACAAAGAGGATCCAGAATGTAGTTTAAAATTGTGTTCCAGAAGCCATAAATGACTTTAATGAAGATACTCTTGTAATTTCCTGCCTTTACTTTTAAACATACAATACAAGTCGGAATCCAGTTTGTATTATGCTTGATAAAATGTGTTTAAAAATTCCCCCCCCCTTCCCCCAAAAATTCATGATAACATTGCCCTGCATATATTTACTAAAAAATTAGTAATCACATATAAGTGTAAAGTAATATCATTAAGCTTAATTATTATATGAATAATTTGAGCACAAATTTTTGTATCAAATAATTTGAAAAAAAAAATTTTTTTTTTTTTTTAGTAATAAAAATCAAAAATTTTGATTATAAAAATTATACCAATTTTATAAAAAAAATCTAAGAAAATAATAGTAGAAATATATCTAATGTGTTACACAATCATTTTTTTTTTTTGTTTTACATAAAAAATTGATTTTAAAATGAAAAAATGATATAAATTTAGGTAATTTACATTTTCCATGACAATTTAGTTTTTACGCTATATGACAATTAAAAAAAAAATTATATAAGATTCTTATTTGAATCAATAAAAAGCCATAATTAAAAAAAAAAATTTTAAATTTTTTATATGCAATTTGTAAGTGATTTGATATTTTATTTTAATGTGCAAAATTAAGTGTAAAAAGTAATCTTTTCCAAATCATCTCATTTATAAGTTTTAATAGAAATATTATATTGTTTAAGTGAAAAAATGTTAATATAGTTGAAAATTTTTATATTATTATTATTTGTAACGTTTAAAAAAAAAAAAAAAAAAAAAAAAAAATTAAAAACAAAAAATTTCATTTTATCAATTATTTAAAACTATTAATAAATTAAATAAAAAAATTTTTTTATCGAGTTTTGTTGTTACTTTTTAATAAATTTTTTTAAATAAAGTATCAAAAATTTGTTATTCTCGCAATAATAATTGTATGATATTAATTTATATTATTTAAATGGGAATTAATTTTAAAACATATATTATTATAATATTTATAAATTTATATTATCGTTATATATATATATATATATAAGATGTTTTTTATCATTTTAATATTTGCGTTGAAGAGTGCAGGGAATTTTAATCGGGATTGTTTCCCTGTCAAAGAAATTTTTTATTCTTAAGTTGCATGCACTGTAAAATGGCTCAATGAAGAATACGATTTCGTGAAAACTCGTTTCTAAGTGATCGTTTTCTTTAATTTTTTTTTTTTTTTTAATTTATATTGAATTAACATTTTGTAATTTATTGTTATTATTATTAATACAATAATTGTTTTATTTATTTATTTAAATTAAAATAATTAAAGTATTTTATACTGACCTCTGTCGGATGATTTAGGCTGTTTCAAGGTTGTGTAAAAATTGGATATTTCTGCAGTGCTCAGGATTATTTGATTTATTATTAAGTGTTCATCTTCGGTAAGTTTAAACTTGAGTTATGCCGTTCACATCCCGTGATAATTCGAAATTATCAGATAGGCTTTGGGGTAAATCGGGTGAAGAAATTTTAAATGAATTGGCAAGTGATTTAGATCCCGATAGAAGAATGTTTTTTGATACACCGTCATGGAGGCAAAGACAAAATAATCCAACTGGCTTTCGAAGGGTAAGCAACCCTACCTGAAAACGATATTGTGTGTGTGTACGTGTGATATTAAAGGTTTTGATTTTAAGCACAGTTTTATGTACACACATAAAATTGCGGACGGACACATGCATACACATTTTAAGGTATATTTTATTTGTGTATGCAAATGCGGTGAAACGCTTTATCATTCATTTCTAAATATGATGTTTTATGTGGGGTAAAATTGTGCAAGAAATTTGAATGCATTTCATAGATTAATTACTTCTAAATATGATTAATCTTTTTTTTTTTAAAAACATTAATGTCTCAAATAGCATAGCTTTTTAACTTTTTTTTGGATTTATCTTATATTTTAAAGAACCTTGATTTTTTTAGTTTTATTAAAACTGTTTTTTTTTTTTTTCTGTTTTGATCTTTTATCTAATCTTAAACATAAATATATAATTCCTTAAGTTTATTTAAGGGCCTGTTTTCAATGGATTACCTTTTAAAATAATATTTGCAGTAAATTTTTAACAGAAATTTGAAATCGTATGAATTTTTTTTTATTAAAAATAATGAATTCGTATATGCATTTTATAAATCATTGAGTGATATTTGATATTTTTAATTTATCGTTACTGTTGATATTTTTTTCATTTTTTTTTTTTTTTTTTTATGTTTTGCCATTTGAAAAATTTAATTTTTAACATTTCTAACATTTAATCTTATAGTCGTAAAAAAAAAAAAGGAAAAAGCAATATGTTCTGTTTGATTCGACAAAATGATTATTGAAACCATAAAAAACAACTTTTTAACGCAACATATATTATTGATTATTTACTTGGGGGTGAATAATAATATTTGCATTTGTACATTTGTAAAATTTTTTAAATTCAAAAGAAAAAGCCGAGTTTACAATTGCAAATGCAAAAGTCAAATTTTTTACTTTGTGAAATAATAATAATAATAATTAAAATCGAGTAAAAGTAAAGAAAAATTTTGAAAATAGTTTGACTAGGTAAACTTAACGATAAAAAAAAAGGAAATATTATATTGAATCGAGTTTAATATTGTAAGGGAAATAATTTTTAAATATTAAACAAGAATTATCACAATTTTTACAAAATGATTTACAAAAAAAGAATAATTGGGTGGTAAATGTGTTTAAAATATTTCAAATGTTTTTATTTTTTTTTTTCTGTTGGTATTGTTGGAACAGTAAAAATTTGATTCGATCATATTGAATTTTTTTTCTATATATATTTTTATATTATTTATTTTAATTGTATTTAAATATATATAAGAAAAAAAAGTCGTGGTGGTGTCCTTTATAAAACTACGTTTAAATAAATAAACAATTTCCTTATACAAAAAAATTTCAAATCAAAATTTAAATATAATTGCAATTTTTTTTTTTTTTTTTTTTTTTTTTAATATTATAAATATCATTGGAATTTATTTATTTATTTATATTATTTTTATACATTTAAAAAAAAAAAAGGTTGCGTCTTTAATTGTAATAATGTCCGGAAGAAAAAAATAATAAAAAAAAATTAAGGAGATATTAACAAAATAGGAAATCCAGGTTCACAACCCACACAATCGTTTTTTTCTATTTTTCTTATAGACCGAAACGTGAAATCAGTCTGTGATTTCTCTCGTTGTGTGAATCTTTTATTTTTATTGTTAATTTAGTGCGAGAATAAATTTAATTATTATTATTATTATTATTATTTGTATTTCATCGAGTAAAATTTTATTATTATTATTATTAATTTTTTTTTTTTTTTTAAAAAAAATTAGATTTAAAATTTGTGAAATGCTTTTAATGAATTTATTTTTACATTTTTTTGTGTATTCTCTATATCTATCTATCTTTGTGCAATTTCTTTAAAAAAATTTTCTCCTAAAAGTTATTTTAAATTTTTTGTTAAATATGACGAAATAATTTTGAATTTTTTTTAATTTCGAATTTTTCTAGATTGTTCTACTCGTCAGTTTTTTTTTTTTTTTTTTTTTTTTGTATACCTTAAACGATATTATAAATAAATGCCATGGTATCGATTTTTTTTTTTTGTATATTCTGAGTCATCGCCTCAAGGTATTCAAAAAAAAAAAAAATTCATATTTTAACCTTGTAGAATGCAGAGAATGATCTCGAACAATCTCAAAATAATAATATTAATTATTATTATTATTATTATTATTTGTATATTTAAAATTTTAATCTTTGTTCCACGTACTATTTTTTTTTTTTTTTAATTAGTACGATTTTTGTAAATTAAAATTGACGAGTAGGGCATAAGAAAAATTTTTATTTTTTATTTATTTTTTTTGTGTCCTTTACGAAAAAAAAATTTAACCGAATTTTAGTAGAAAAAATAATAATAATAATAATAATAATATAATTTTTAAAAAAAATAAAAATAAATGTATGGCGTCGATAAATTACGAAGGAAAAGAAACGATGCAAAACTTTGTTCTCTCTCTCTCTCTCTCTCTTTCAAAAAAAAAAAAATTATTATTTTTAGATTTTTTCTTTTTCTTTTTTTTTTCTTATTTTTTCTTTTTTTTTTTTTTTTTCTTCTTTTCTTTCTTTCTTTCTATTCGTTCTGGAAAGAGAATGAATGTAGTATATTATATGTCATATGATTTTTTTTTTAAATGTATTTTTAGACGTTTTATTTTAATTGAAAAACAAAAAACTTTTCTACCTATAGATTTATTTATTTTATTTATTTATTAAAAAAAAAAAATTAATTTTATTAAAAGCATTTTATATATCGGAAATTTGTTGTTTGACCTGCATTTTATTTTATGATTGCAAAACTTTTTAAAATAATATAATACGAGAGTTTTATTTTTAAAAAAAAAAAAAAAAAATTGCCCGCGACAACATTTTATTAATTTTTTTATTTTTCTATTTTTTATATATTTATTATATAGATAGATATTTGATAAGTAATAGAATTATTAAATAAATAAAATTTGACGGTAAAATTAATTAAATAAATAAATAAATAAAGACAATAATGGATGTGGCACTTGATAATTCATCATCGTGTCCAAATTATAACGAATCGGTGAGTTGGTACCATTATTATTATTATTATTATTATTATTAATGCTTGATACAAAAAATAAATAAATAAGTAATTAATTTTTTTAAAATGTGAAATATCATATGTGGGATCAAAATAATAATGATAATGAATTTTTGTCGTGGTGGTGGTGGTGGGGGTAATGATGGTGATGGTACCATACCACCACGTTTTATTTCTCATTAAAAATAATGTGTATTAAAAAAAATTTTTCAAAGAAACGTCGTTGTGACGTAACAAAAGTGACGTCATTCGAAACGCGAGTGAGTTACGAAGTTATTTATAAATTTTTTTTTTTTTTTTTACCTTTAAAAAAAATTAGTAGTTTGACAACTTTTTTCAAATATCTTCAAATGAAAAATACATATATATGTATTAGACATATTATTATTATTATTATTATTATTATTTTTTTTTTTTTTTTTTTGTAGTGAAAGTTTATAAAACGTATATTATTGTACTTGAATTTATATTGTGGGGAGCAATGTCGTAAAAAATTAACTTTCTAATTAAAAAAAGGAAAAAGGTAGATGATACACCCACAAATGTTCAAAATGGATTCTTTTGATGAGTTGACATTAATGTGCCGTTATTTGAGACATTATTCCCTTACAGATTTAATAAAAAGACGTTTGGAAATTTATTTTTTTTTTATATTTAAATTTTGTACCCGATTTGTACCCGACATTGTATCTCATAATATCATCATCATTATCGTTTCTATAAAAAAAAAATTAAATTATTATTATTATTTAATTTTTCCTTAATTTTTATTATTTTGAAGCTCTTTAAAATGGTTTTTTTTTTTTTTTGTTGCAAATAAGCAATTATTAATAATTGATTGGTTGTCATGGCGAATAATAATAATAATAATATTACACGGATTTATGAAATTACAATTTTTTTTTTTTTTCAAACTAAACTATTTGGTCAAAATGTTTTTTTTTTTTTTTGACGTAAAATAATAATAATTAGATTGACTGTGTGCGTGTGTGTGTGTGTGTGTGTGTGCGTGTTTTCCCACACGATATATATATACTTTCACATTTACATACAATTCGTCTTCAAAGTTGACTTATCTCTACGATATTGGATTCAATCCAAATTTTATTTTGAATAATAAAAAATTTGTGTATTTTAATGTCAATAATAATTATATCCTTGTGAGCATCTATATTGTTAAATTTGATTTTTGGGTATTATTATTATTATTATTGTAGTAACAGGTTCTGTGTTTGAAAACCACCGGAGTGTAGTAAATATATATATAGAATGACTGACTGAGTTTTAGTTTTGACCCAATCAATTAGTTTCTTCTGCTGCTGTGAAAATTTAATAACTTAATTGATATTATTCATTTTTTTTTTGGGATTTTGACTCGCACAATTCGAATTTATTCTGAGGAGAATAAAAAATTGCAATTTTAACGACCCCATTTTTTTTTGTTTTTTTTTTTATTGATAATTGTAATGAAAATATTTTTTCCGTTAAATTTTTAGGGTTTTCCCTTTGCTGATGATCGGAAAAGAACAAATTTGCGATCGTATTTGGATGAAATAGCAGCTCGTCATCCAGAATTTGCCGATCAATTAAAAGAACCTCCATGGGATGAAAATTTTAAGGATTCCCCCAATAGGCAAGGCAGAGGTTTGAATACAGAAAGACAGGAAAATCTGAGTCAAGAAGGAAGTAGTAGTTCAAATCAAATTCCTCCTGAAATCAACGAACCCCAACAAAACCTAACGAATTTCGGATTGAGAAACACAGTACCGCTTGGACCGGGAGTGTTGTTGAAAGAAGAAAGGCAGCAAAGGTCTATGTCAGCTCCTCCTGATCATAGAGCCAACGAAAAACCTCAGAGATTTGTCACGAAATGCGAAATACCCATAATGCATGATCCAAGTCAAGATCCCGCCAATCAGAAATCTGGAAGAAATACTCCGGATAATGCGCAGCACAAGTCAAACAATTCGCCCAACGTTCGCGTGATACCCATTCAGGTGGAAGGCCGAGATGCGCCCTTACTAAATACAAATATAGACACGGCCACGAATTTTGGAGCGGAATCATTTCGAGAACCTAGCTTTGATGGGCGTTTGCCTCGAGATTTCGGCGCTTATCAAAGACACTCTCCAAGATTTGGCCATAAGGAAAGAACTCCCACTCCTCCGAATCAGCAGTACGCTCATCACTACCAGCAGTATGTGCCACCCCAGCAACATTTTTCGCCTTCGCAACAATATTACGGACCTTCTCAGCAACAATTCGGACCCTCGCAACAGCATTTTGGACCATCCCAACAGCATTTCGGACCCTCGCAACAACAACATTTCGGACCTTCTCAGCAACATTTTGGATCCTCTCAATTTATGCCTCAGCAACAATTCGTGCCTCAACAACAGCATCATCAACAACAACAACAGCAGCAGCAGCAACAGCAACAGCATCCGCAACAAAACTACCGATACCAAGATAACATGTATGCCAATCAGCATCCGCACGGTCAAAAACCACAAACTCCACCGCATCAAAAGCAACCCTCTCAGCCACAATTTCCTCAACAATCTCAACCGCAACCGACGGCTAAACCGGACGAAACCGATTCGAAACCTGCACCGCAACCAAAGCCAGAACCCATCAAAGATCCGATCGAAAGAGTGCAAGTAATTCAAAAAGAAGTTGAAGAGCTGATGAAACAAGTAGAATCATTCAATGGAAATTCGAGGGCCGACAAGCAGTACTTACTGTTGGACGAGCTGTTGACCAGACAATTACTTTTACTAGACAATATCGACACGGAGGGTAAGGAAAACGTGAGGCAAGCTAGGAAGGACACGATAAAAAGCATTCAACGATGCATCAGCACTTTAGAAAATAAAGTACCCGCGGGCGAAAACGAAGGAGATTCCTCTTCCGTCAACTCGAAAGAAGAGAAAGACGAGAAAAACGTGGCAGAATCCGATTCGGTTCAATCGACGGAAACGGATAAAACGGTCAAAGAAAACACTCCAACGGATAATGATGATAAAAAGGAAAATAATCAAAATGTGGAAGTTGACGTCATGAAGGTTGTCAAAGAATCCGGTCAGGAATTGAAAAAGGAAAAAAAAGAAGAATGAAAAGGAAACGTTTGAGATTTTAGGAAATAGGGAAGGGAAGGAAGGAAGAAAGAAAGGAAGGAAAGAAGGAAGTAAGGAATAAAAATAATAATAATAATAATTAATTATATATATTTATAAATATATATATATATACAAATATATATTAGTTTTGTTTTTTTTTTTTTTTTTTGTGTATTGTCGGTGTTAGTTACATAATAATAATAATAATAATAATAATAATAATAATTAAATGATTATTATTTCATTATTTACATACCTATATATATATAAATATTTAGCGCCTACCGTTTTCATTTCAATTTAATTAATTATTTTATTTTATTTTATTTAAATAAAAAAGTTGGCTTAAAAAATTTTCTCTTTTATTTTTTATGTACACGTAACAATTTTTTTATTTTTATTTTAATTAGTTATTAAATAATAAATAAATAAATAAATAAATAAATTAGGTTTTAACAAACGTTCGTTCGTTCGTTTTTTCCCCCACATGGATATGTGTTTAGCCTTTAATTACTTCAACCAATGATAAATTTGCATTTAAAATCATTAAAAATTTATTATTATTATTATTATTATTATTATTATTATCATTATCACTTATTTTATAAATACATAATTTTTTTTTTTTTTTTTTTTAAATAATAAATAGATAAAGAAATTGGTTGAGTTTGTTGTTAAAAGTAAAAAAAATTTCGATAAAATAATTTAAAATGTTTGGTATCCATGTCTAATATATATATATAAAAGAGTTTTTCCATTGTACTGTTTTTTAAAATTCAATTCATATATATATATATAGTATTTAAAATGTATTTGCTAAAATGCTTAATTATTTTTTTTCTTTTTTTTTTTTTTTTTTCAATTTAACAATAAAATAAATAAATAAATAAATAAAACATAATTTTAAGTATTATATTTTATTTTATTTTATATATTTTTAAAATTATTTTATTAAACTTTTTTTCTCTAAAATAAAAATAAAATAAATAAAATGAAAAGAGAGAGAGAGAGAGAGGGGGGAGGAGAGAGAGAGAGAGAGAAAGGATGTTTAAATGTCAATTCTCACTTGTTTGTCTGTGGAAGGTCATTTTCAGTTTTTTTTCTTTTTTTATTGAATTTTGATGTGTGCGACATAAAAAAATAATTTTAACGTAGGAAATAAAAAAAAAAAAGCAATTATTTAAAAATAGTTTTAGCTTTTTAGCTTTTTTAAACGGAGAATTAATACGTTTTTTTTTTATTACGCTCTAATAAATATCCGACTTGATTTTTTTAAATTCATTATTATTATTATTATTCAGTACATTTTTACGATAAGTCAATAATAATAATAATTAATTAATAAATCGAGTTTTTATTAATATTTTCCCAATTTTCGATTCGGAATTTCTTATATAACGATAAAAACATTTTGTTTTTATTTGGGAGATTTAAAATCAAATATGGCGGACAAACTAATCCACAGCTCGCTTATTTTATTGGATTTTTTTTTTTTAATGGGGATAAAAATCAATTGAAAATTCATTTATGTGAGTAAATTTTGTATATTTTTAAATTAAATTTTTTTTTCTTTTACAAAAAAAATTAACAAGTTTTTTTAAAAAAAAGGTTTTTCGATGATGATCGTACATGATTTTTTTTTTTTCAATATAATTACATTAAAGCAATAACTAAATTTTTATATAATAATAATAATAATAATAATAATAATAATAATAATAATAATAATAATAGTAACAATGACTAGTTCAAGGTACAGAACTTTATTACTTGTTCGAATCGATTGTTAGATTGTTACTCCCATTCTTTCATTACTCGACCGTAATCGGCTTCCGATATAAACGGTTTATCGATCGAATCCACCATGTAATCCCCGCAAAAATAACAATCGGATGCTACAATGTTGTCGATGTTTGCTTTAACCACGTCTCTGGTTGCTGCCACGGAATTTATCGATATGTTATCCATTTGTTGACCCGACGAAAGTTGATTCAATTGTTTTTGCAAATCCAATAATTTATTTTTCGGTTCGGTGGGTAGTAACGGTAATAATTCGGTTATTAAACAATCGGAATGAAAATAGTGACCGCAGGGAAATATGTAAAATGGTCTAAAAAGTAATTGTAATTCGCACAGTGAGCAAATATCACTAGCCTTTATAACGGAATATCTGTGTTTGAATGCAGAAACTTTTTGCAAAATGATTTCCGCAGATTTCGTCGCTTCGTTCATTTCTTCTTTCAAATCTTGAATGTGTTGATTGTATTCCTGCGAGAAAAACATCAAAAACTTTTTTTCGTTTTCCGGGTTCGTATTAAAAAGAAACATTTTTTTTTTTTTTTACTCTGTGAAATTAACGAACCTTTAACGACGTGCAAATGGCTTCCTTAAAATCGTCGATCGTAACGAAATCGGAAAAAAAAGGTAAAATATCTTCTATTTTTAATATTTCGGATTTTCTTAAAAATTCCATTGCAAATTTTATATCGTCTTTGTCTTTTATGACGCATTCGGCTAAAAAAAAAAAAAAAAAAAAAACAAAATTATTTGTTTGCAAAGTAATTATTTTCCAATATGGAGGACATTGTAATTTTTCTTTTACCTATTTTTAACCATAGTCTTTTTAACAATTCTGGATCGCTTTGATGCAAATTAGCTGTTTTTATTGCGAGTTCCACGCTCACTGTCAAAGCCAAATCTACAGCAGATTCCCAAAGACCTAAAAGAGCGGATAGTTGAACGCAAGCCTCGGTGAGACCACGATCCTGACATAATCTTAATGCATAATGAATATCATAATTAACAGCCGAGGCATCCTGTCCTAAAAAGAAAAAAATGTATATTTTAGTTTTAATAACTTTTATTTTTTGAGGGGGGGCTAAACCGTATTAAGTTTTGTCATCACAAACCTTGAGCAGCCAAATATTGCTTTAATTTTTGAGGCTTGAATTTAGCATACAGAGATAAAAGGTAGTTGTGAAAAGCTTGATCTGTGCACTGAAGTTTGTAAATTGCAAATTCTAAATACTCGATGGCTTCTAAACTAGCCCATGAATCTTCATTGCACATCAATAAGGCTGGTAATAATTTTGAAAGATTTAAATTTTTTCCCTGTTGAATTAAAAGTGCCACCAATTCTTTTGGAATAACTTGAATGAGAGTAGGAGCGAAATGATAAAGAAGATCTTTTCTCGTGAGACAAGCTTTTTTCAATACTTGTAGGGCTTCCTCATAATTATCTGCAATTTTAAATAATGTAAACACCAAATTCTTTTTATGCATTTGAAAAGGATTTTGGATTCAATTAATCACCTTTGTATATATGATGCCTTATAACTTTTTCAAAATCTTGATTGCTGATTGTCAGTTGAATCAAATTTCTTCCATCTCCGTGAGTTGCCATCAAATCATACACCGTCCCTTTGTTGTTTTTAACACATTCAACAACTTCAGGCACAGTCATAAATTCATCAAATTCTTTTTGCACGTCATTGTACTCATCCGTGTTTTCTTTATTTTTTTCTCTTAACGTACCCAGTTGACTCAAATATAATTCAATTAACCAAACAACAACCATTGTTATTTGCGTTTTATCATCCTGTTTTAAATTTTTCAATTTTGAATTGAGAAATATTTTTAATGAATTAATTTCGGAAATTTGTAAAAATTTGAGAGCTATTTCTTCAAATGATACTGACATTATATTCGAATAATGTTCGGCGCTTTTCTCATATTCTTTTTCTTGAAAAAGAGATTCCGCTTGCTTTAACGTAACTTGATCCAAATAAACGGGATTTCCTTTACAAAAAAATTTTGCCAATTCAAATTCTCCCCTATCCGCGTATATTTGCCAAACGTTTCTATCTTCTTGTATTATTTTATAATTGAAAACGTTTTTTTCCGTAAATAACCAAATTGTTCCTTTGCAAGGCTCTCTGTTTATATTACCCAATTGACCATAACTCTAAAAATAAACAATAATTAAAATCTTCACCTTTTACACTTTTTTTTTAAAGGAATAATTCATGTCTTACTTCAATGTAATAATCTTCAAAAACAACTTGCTGATTTAATAAAGAATAAGCAGTCACGTGATCAGAATACAACAACAATATGTGAAATTCTGTTAAAACAAAGCTTTTAGGAATGGAATCATTGTCTTGATTAAACTTTAATAAATCACAGTTTTCCAGTTTGATATCTTCATCGGAATTTGGATCAATCTAAAAAAAAAAATAAATGGCGTCAAATGATGTTGCAAAACTAAGAATGCGATAAAAATAAATTTGAAAATCAACCCTACATTGGAATAGTAAATGCCATTTGCTGTTAACCAAGCAAATCTTTTAGGTGCCTCTTTTATATTATTGTAATAAACATCAAGCTTTGAAGCAATTGTACTTCCACAAGGTACAGTTTCAAATTTTTCAGGCATATTTAAATAAGTTTTAAATACTTGTTGCAAAACTGGTTTATCATCAGTAGTTGTTCCTTTGAATTGATAAAGCTTGGTTGCAGTTGTTACCAATATAAAATATTTATCTTTTCCAGGTATCCTGTATATGTGTAAACCAGTTATTGGTGTGTCTATTCCTTTTCCGATATCAAACACCTGAAAATGCAGAAAGAAACTCAATAAAAAAATGAAGAAAAGCTCAAAGGCATTATTATTTAAGTTTTGATGCATTACTTGTTTCCAATATTACTTCCAATCCACTGTTAAACAAACTCTTCACTTTCATAAGAGATTTCTGTTTCAAAAATAAGACCCTTTGGATGTACCTAATAAAATAGGACATCTTGAAGATTTCGACTGGCTTATGTAATTCCAAGCAATAGCAGTTATTTGAAGACCGCGGGCTTTGGTGAACTAAAAAAATTAATTTCAATTTTAAAATAAAGGGCATTTTATTTTAACAATAAAAATGTACACTTAATAAATCTTACATGCTTTAGTTTTGAATTTGACTTTGAAAGATAAAGCATTTCAGATGGAACATCATACATTTTCGATTCTAAACTTAAAAGAGTATGTTGACCAGTTGGATCGAGAAATACATTAGTTAACTTCATATTAGAATACTTAGATAAATCAATTTCTGTAAAACATTTTATAAATGTCTATACTTAAACCAGAATGAGTACTAAACAATAGGTAATAATTTCTTATACCTTCAGGATTATCTGGATTTCTTAAATTAATTCTTAGCAAAATTCCATTATTCATAGCTATTATAATTATGTCGCTTCCCACTGCCATGTGAGATATTGTATCTGGAGGTGAAAAATTCACCCTTTTTTTACTAAATATAGGAGTGTCATCTTCTAATTTCATATCAATAAATCCATGTTTCTAAAAGTGAAAGAACCAACAAAAACCAATAAAAAATAAAACGTAGTATTTCCAACGAAATAAACCTTTAAGTAAAATATAAAAAATACCGGAACATTTTTCGAAACTGTGAATTTCTGATATGCTTCTTCATACTGGTCCAAAATATTAGCCATGACACTATAAAACCTAAGTTCAGGACGATAAATTCTAGACAATAAAATGTAAAACAAAAAAAAAAGGTTAAAATCAGGTTAATTATAAAAAGGAAAAATTTATAATATTAATAAACTTATACCAAAAATTTACCTTTGAAACATTACAATTAATTATTTTTTTGACAATTAAGTAGCATGACTAAAAAGCATACAAAATGATATGAGCAATAAAAAAATCATGTATAAAAGAAAATTTCAATAACAAACATAAAAATTTATTTGTAAAGTAAATTACTAAAACTATAAAGAAATTAATATTGTTAAAAAATTAAGGAAAGTATAATATTACATATCACTAAGGATTACGAGTAGATTAAATATAATATTAATTTACTGTACAAAACAGTACAGTATACTATTTTTTTACTCTATGACTTCAAGAAATAACGTCAGTTGCTTTCGACTACTCGTGAAATATATATAAAGTGGTATTAAAAAACTATTAATTTTTTTTTTTTTTTTTAAAAGGTATTTATTATGTTTTTAAAATAAAAAAAAAATTTTAATTTAATTATTATAATGAAAGAAAGTACTTAATAATTTTACGATATTTTTTTTTAATAATTTTTCAAATAAAATTAATTTTAATGAACATGAGTTCGACATGAGTTAATTTGCAGATTAATTTTATTGTTGTATTTCGCAATATATATAAAAATAATGATTAAAAATTCTGTTAATGAATTGGAAGATGAGTCTGATGACGATGAAGAAGAAAGTCCTATTTTAAAAGAGGTATGTGTGAATTTTACTGTTACTTTTTTTTTAAAAATAAAATTAACTTAATTTATTAACTATGACTTTTTAGATTCCTGTGTTTTTATCTCAAACTTTAGCCGAAAAACTAGTTGTTTATCAGTATCCTCTGGAGCATAATGGTTTAAATACTGATAATTCTAATGTTATTAAATGCAGTATAAAACAAAATCCACATGAGGTTATGTTAGAGTTGGAGAAAAATACAAGTAGTCCAAATTATTCAATGAGTAAAGCCGAACAAATTGCAATCAAGGTGGATGGCAGGGATACGATAAACAAAAATCCAGAAGAAGTTACTTTTCCAAAGTGATTTTTTTTTAAATTGCTCTTTTCATATAATTTTTTTTTGAGAATTCAACAGTACATTAATTATTTTTATCTTTATTAGAAATATAATGGATAGACAGTCATATATAAGTTGCTCACTTAGTGACCAAAATTTGGCTGTAGGAATTTTACACGAAAATGAATTGCACTTGACGCCTTTAAAAAATGTCGCATTATTAAGACCTTCTTTCAAATATATTGATAAAGGAGATAAAAGATTAAAAAAAGAAGCAAAAGATTTAGAAGGTATTTTAAATAAAATAAATTTTAATAAATTTAATTTTATATATATATATGTTAACTAATAAAAAAATTTTTTAAACTGTTTTTCAGGAGATAATTCAGGAGAAGAAGAAGAAGAACTCAAACAAGTCACAGTTAAATTTGCCAGACAAGAATCGGAAAAAATTCGAAAAGCCAGAGAAAAATCTTTTAGTTATATTAACGAAATGAATTCAAAGGAAACATGGTACACTTCGAATTTTTATTGCAAAGGAACTGATAAATCGGAAGTGAGTAAAATATTTTATTTATATTTTTTTTTTAAACTCTAGTAATAATTTTGTATCATTTCTTTCTTACAAAAGTAAATCATGAGATAAACTTCATTTCATTTTAGATTGAATTTTGTAAATTGTATTGTAATACACCCAATGATAAAGCTAAGGAAATCAAATTTGAAGCGAATGAAATATTTCAAAATGTTTGCATTGTTGATGAAAATGAAATTAAAAGTTCTTCTCATGGTGATTCCCTTAGACTTTTAAAAACATTACCAATTTTAGATAAAGTTAAAAGGCTGTTATTTCAAGGTAAGTAAATTTTTATAATTGCAATAAAATATTTAGTAATAATTTAATTCCATCAGTTTTGTTATTAACTAATATATATTTCGAAATGTTTATATTATCTTTCATTTTCTTTTCTTTTTTCTTTTTTTTTTTTTTTTTTACAGCAAGACTGATTCAGTTTTCTAAACTTATAAAATATTTAGGAAATAATTATGACATACAAGATTATCTTAAAATAGTTCAGCAAGTTGCTGTGTTAGTACAAGGTTGCTGGGTTGTACAAAGTGATATTTTATATTTTAAAGAAATTGTGACTGGAGGCATATCCGGTAGCTTAATGAGAGCGGCCAGGGATTACATTGTAAGTCACCAGATAATAATAAATACAAGCCATTGAAAAATTTTCCTTTACTAATATTTATTATTATTTTTCAGTTGTACTTGTTTACCAAAAGCCGTACCGTCACGCGTCGTAAAATTTTAGAAACCGTTAAATTACCGTCAAGCGTTGTTAAAGAGGTTCTGGAAGAATTTGCCACTTTAATACCATCTT